TTTCTAACAAAGATATGTTTAGGCAAAAAGGTAAGTAATAATCCTGTCGTTAGTTTCCATCCGAATCTCCTAGAAGGGTTTTCATTCCAGAATGTTAGAGGGCCAGCTTTTGTGTGGCAGGTTACTAAATAAGATGCAGTAAATATTGGTGTTTACTACCACCAAATAATCAGCTCTATAAACCACTCTGGTAGAGGAGACACGGCAAGTAGAACAATAATGCGGTCTCAGGAATGACCATAAAGCGATGCCACATTTTACGGCCTTCTTGTCTACTAATACGGTCAGCAACTTCAAACGTCTGAAACTTTTTCAACTATTTCATTTAAATGACGTAAACCTGAAGGCACAAAGGCAGGAATTGAACATGTAAATTGCTGGCGGGCACCGGCGCAAATAACGAATAAGGGACTAGAGCAAATATCAGATATGTGGGACTTACAGTGTGGGCACCAGGGAGCGTAGAAGGAGACAAGCCATTCATCCTGGCTCTTGAGAACGAGATCGTCGAAGTTGCTGTCAGTGAGTTCAATGACAGAGCCGTCGCCCTTACTGTCACTGCCACTGGAGCTGCCGCGGCTACTTCCACCACTGCTGCCTCCGCAAGTACCACCGGTGGATTGAGAAGGCTTCTTAATGGTTACACCCTATTATAATGTACATTGAAATAAATACGAATGCAGTGACAGCAGTTGGTCAAAAAAAGATAGTCTACCACTTATCTAATGTCAGACGATAAATCAGAATATCAAAAAGAACGCGACTAATTATGTCAACATGGCATACCTGACATCAGTAGCAATACTGACCATCTGGATGCAAATTAGATAACATTGGAACTATCATTATGTCATACTATGCTGCCATGTCGTGTATATCTTGTGTTAAATATTTTAGGACATTTTACCGTCAAGATAGAGACTCCAGGAAGGCCTTTTTTGGCATATTTGCCATCGTCAGCTGGGGATACTTTATTCCAGTGTAGCAGCGGAAATTGCCGCCACACTCGAGTTTCGAACCTGCGTCTCTCCGGTCAGAGGCAAACGCCCTAACCAGTGAGCTAACAGGCCCGACATCTTGCCGGATGTTGATCGGGACTATACATTAGTAGCTCGGTGTACGCCTATCTACTAAAGTTATATGTATCCACTGTGCAGGGAAGTTGAACGTAAGCTCGGAAATTCGGAACTAAGGGCTTGGTTAGTATTTCTGTTCAATTCTATGCTGTCTGGCGGCGCAGCGTCTGCTCTATAAAATATAACTGTTCCTACTTCGTATGCCAGTTTCATACATTTTCAAGATAGCACGGCATGTTTTCTCGAATGTCTTAGGTAATTTAATCTGCCGGACATACTATAGTCTGTCGGGTGGAAAAAGACGCTGTGTACGCACTCTTCTAATACAGAGAATTCAGACTGTAGCCAACGCCCAAAAATGAAAAAGGCAGAAGCTAGAGAAGCGAGATGGTTGGTGTTAAATCAATCTTGACGGTGACAGAAAATGGCAACTAAACAGTGTAGTTGAACATGAAGTAGGATCCAATAATATTTTCAGTTAACAAGGCACTCAGCTTGTTTAATGTAGCTATGTAATTTTAGTTTAACGTTCCTGGTGGAATCTGAAGAATAGGACAAGTGTAATTTTGGGTGGCTAATCTAATCTGCTATGATTATCAAAGGCGGCCAACTTTTTTGCAACGGGTATTAAAGCGACTCAGTGTATAAAAAGGAAACGATACAACCAGGTCGACTTCAGCAAATATTTTAACAGAGGTTTCTGTTAGCTTACATAGGAAAATAATATATACGGAAAATATATATCACACTGACATAATCAGCATTTAAAAACATTCTAGCACAGTCCCTTGGGGCCTGGAAAGGCGGAATAGCCATCTTATTACCCTATCAAGGAGAGCCAAACGAATTCCGTTGTTCATTTATTTAAAAAATTCGAACTTAAGACATAAGGGCGGCTACGTGCATGGCCAACGTTAAACAAAATTAGAGTAACCAGATTTCGATATTTATATAAGAGCTAATATACAGGTGCGGATTTTCAATGAAACAATAAAAACTTCAAGCACCGACTGAATGGAGCATGTTATTGGTTTTTCAAAATTCAACTCAATACAAGAGCACAACTTAATTAAAATTTATTGCAAAGCTATGTGAAAATTTAGGAGAGGAAAGGCCGAACGCGGTGGCTGCCTTGACGTACGTACGTAATAACGGAGTCAAGTTAGTATGTATGAGGTACTGCTTTGCTCTCCACTCTGGGCACGCAAGCCTTTCATAGTACAGTTATCAGACAAAGTGCATGGAAGTTCCTGGGAATCGTGAGTATGGGCTGCTGCTATGGATCGTCACGCATGGAGAAGTACTATCCGCCACATCATCGAGGCAGGCTAGATCAGTCACGATCGCAGTCGTAGCAAGTACACCTTAGTACACGCAACCCTCCAGAGGTGCAAAAGCCTCAACAACCGGAATAAGACTGCATACAATAACTCAGACTCATTTGTCCATTTCAAAAGGAAGTTCAACTGAAAGGAAAATTGCAAAACTTACTTCTTTTTTGCCCCGGTGTTCGACGACTTCAGTGACTTGCTCCAGAAGGAACTTTGTGATGCTGCTGGCATCTCTTTCCCCTTTGTATTGAATCGGGTCCGATTTGTCATCTCGGAATATTAGAATAGTTGGGTAACCCTTAACCTTGTATCGCTCGCTCAATTCGGATTGTTTATCGCAATCCACAGCACCGAACCGAACAATCCCCTGAAGGGTAAAATGCTTGTAAGTCACTGGAATCAAATACAAGGTCCTTACGGTTATAAGAGTGGAATTTTGAGGAACGCTGAAATGAAGCTTTTAGAAAAAAACTGGTCTGGAGTTCGATTTAAGAGACCAGAAAAAAACTACGATTGATGATAAATTTTTAAATAGTAGATTACCAGCGCAATGTAATTATCGACGCGAAAAGAAAAATAGAAACGCAGACTAAAACGGATGGCCAAAACACAGATTTGATGACATTCAATTGCAAATGAATAATAACCTTCAGAATGGCCGCCGCTTGTTTGTACTTTGGAGCTAATTGTTCACAGTGGCCACACCAGCTGGCATAAAATTTGACGATACTGACGCCCGGAGAGGAAGTGAAATCGTCAAAATTTGAACTTGTTAAGTGGGACACGCTTTGATCCGATGAATACAGTCCATGGCAATTGAAAAGAAATAACGACAAAAGACCTAAAACAAAAGCCAATGTTAGAAAAGGAAAACCAGTGGCTTTATAGTATCAAGGCAAAAAATGAAATGCATGCATCTTGCAGTAGGCCTATGAAAATTAGTCATATGGTTTGCAGTACCTTATCTTCTCTTTAAGAGACTATTTAAGCGTGGATGCTTTGATGAAAGTAACGGTTGTTAGAAATTACAAAAAAACTGCACATTCAAACGCAACGCAATGTATGTCAATTGTGACTTCTTACAAACTGTTTCTACCTCAGAGAAGAGTAGGATTACTTTCCATATTAAGTGCACTAATCTGTGCCTTACTGTTGCCACTAGTCTGGTGAATTTTGGGATCAGGATCTAAGGGCAGAAAGAACAATGAAGATTGGGAATTCCGCAGTTATGTGCATCATTTTAGACGTCTTAAAAGTTCTCTTTGATTCAATTTGAAGAATAGCAAGTACAACACCTTCGAAAGACGGACTGAGCATGCGTAAGAACGTGAGACTATTGACTGCAGATTGACTCACACTCCACTTTTGTAAGAAAACAATGCTAACCGTCTTTAAAATATTTGTGAGAAACCTGATTTGGGGTTCTTTTAAAAATCTTTTCGCGAGTACCAAAACGCGCAATGTAGTTTCAATGTCAAGGAAGCTATCCCTTCACGTTGGCCTTGGACGTCCGATAAAAAATACTGGGTCACTTAATCTGGGCACTTTTAAAGCCCGTGAGACTAAGTGATGTCGTTTGGAACGGACACCAACGCGGTCGGCCGTACGTCAAAGGGGAAATTTCGGATAATCTTAGATAAAATCATCAAACCGATTAGGAGCAGTGTTTTGTGGGAAATCAC